GCCTTTTTGGGGGGGGGGGGGGTTTAGAGAGTGAAGATCAGGAAAATAGATAGAAAGAAATAATGATCCAGGAGGGCCAAGATGTTCCCCAAGCCTCAGAGGAGAAGGACCCTTCATGGTGAGTAACCAATGGTCATTCTCCCTCTGAGGTGGAGGCCATCTTGTGGGACCTCCCAGAGCTGTGTCCCTAATTTTTGGGAGGGTGGTCATCATCAGGAGTTAGTACAGACTGCAGCACTCTTCGTCCGAATGCTGCATCAGCAGAGTCATACACATTGATCCACTTGTGCTTATCTAATTCCCTTCTGAAGCCGTCCATGCTTGTAGCCGCCACCACTTCCTGTGGCAGTGAATTCCATGTGTTAATCACTCTTTGGGTGAAGAAGTACTTCCTTTTATCCGTTCTAACCCGACCGCTCTGCAGTTTCATGGAGTGCCCACGAGTTCTTGTATTGTGAGAAAGGGAGAAAAGTACCTCTTTCTTTACCTGCTCTTTCCCATGCATAATCTTATAAACCTCGATCATGTCACCCCTCAGTCGTCTTTTCTCCAAGCTAAAGAGCCCTAAGCGCTTTAACCTTTCCTCATAGGGAAAGTGTTCTAACCCTTTTATCATTCTAGTTGCCCTTTTCTGTATTTTTCCCAAAGCTATAATATCCTTTTAAAGGTGAGGTGACCAGAATTGCACACAGTATTCCAAATGAGGTCGCACCATTGATTTATATAGGGGCATTATGATATTGGCTGATATGTTTTCAATACCCTTCCTAATAATCCCCAGCATAATAATCCGGGGGACTGGTTCCGGGCTTTGGCGCCTGGGCTGCCAACTCTGGCTTGGGAAATCCCTGGAGAGCTCAGCAGAGACATGATGCCATGCGGTCTTCCCTTTGAAGATGCTGTTTTCTCCAAGGGAACCGATCCCTGTCCTCTGGAGATCAGTCGTCCTTTCAGGAGAACTCCAGGCCCCACCCGGAGTCTGGCAACCACACACAGAGGCAGAAAAGGGGCCTCAACAGACTGAGTACTACAAGCACAGCCATATCAGTGTCAGGGGTCATTTTGTAGAAAAAGAGGTGCAGGCGCTCATTAGCATAACTCACTAGCATAACTCATTTGCATATGCCACACCCCCTGACATCCCCGGAAGTGTACCAGAAGGCAACACCCCAGCTCCTGCCAACCTAGCAGTTCGAAAGCAAGAAATTGCAAGTAGATAAATAGGTACCACTTCGGTGGGAAGGGAACAGCGTTCCGTGCGCCTTGGTGTTTAGTCATGCCGGCCACATGACCACGGGAAACGTCTTCGGACAGCGCTGGCTCTCCGGCTTGGAAACAGAGATGAGCACCGCAACCCTAGAGTCGGACTCGACTGGCTTTCGAGCAAGGGAACCTTTACCTTTTGCGGTGCGTAGTGTTTCTTCAACAAGTAATAAAGATATACTACATCCCTGGAGGATATGGCTACTTGGGAGAGTGGACTCAATAGCCCCAAACCTTGCCCTCCCAGGCTCCAGGAATTTCCCAAACTAGAGTTGGCAACCCCACTCTGAGTAGAGAAATCAGATGGAATCCAGAGGGGCCCGGTCTGACCTGCCGGCACGACCGTTACTGTAAGGTCGGAAGCTAAGCTGTACTACATCCTCCAAAAGGATCTGAGGCAAACTGACATCCCTTGTATACAGATATATCTATTGGGCCATCCAGATAATCTGGCGAGATCTGGTGAGATTTGCTCCAGCCAACAAGAAGCAAAGTGGTAGCAGAAGACGCAACGTTCCGAAGAGACCCCCTGAGAAAGGAGATTCCAGGACAGGCAGCCCAAGATAGTTTTCTCACCGTGGGACCGATCTGCTGCCCTCCCCGTGGACACCACTGCCACCAGCAAAACCTGACACTACAGTGACGACAATAGTAATGATAATGCAATTTACTTCCCGCTTGTGCCTTGAGAGAAACTTCCGGCACCCATCTGGAGTTCCAGCGTCGGTCTTGACTGAGCCCTTTCAGCAGCAATGCAGGTCTTCCACATGAAGTCTGGGCTCTCCTGTGCAGGACCGGTGCCGCTTGCTGTGGAGGGGGCGCGTCTGGGCCATCCTGAGGAGATTCGACAAATGTGCTGGAGGTTATTTTCTGGTCCGCGTCAGCTCCTGGGCTCACAAATCCCGAGAAAGTGTTAACGACGGGCACATCGTCCCGGTGTGGAGCGAAAGGGTACTTTTTTTCTTCAGGTGGAGTGTAAGGATTGGATTTGAGAAAAGAATTACTGTCCTTGTCTTCAAAACTGGGGAAGTAATGCCGGTCCTCTGGTCCCCTCACGAAAGGCATGCACATTCTCTTCAGCAGGCCTTCGTGCTGCTTTCGAGACATCTTGCGGAGTGAATCGGCGGGAGGACTGAAGCGTTTCAGAGGACTGAATTGCCTGGCTGTGACCTCGGAAGCCATGGTTATTCTGGATGGTTGCCAATACCAGATACCCCAGTCTCCAGTTGTTTCCCAGTCCCGTCCGGCAAGTCTCAACCAAAGCACAGATCATCCACCCCAAAAGCCCAATTAGGCCTGTTTTTCCCCAAGCGGCAAATGTTTCCTTCACTGAGTAAAGGAACAAGGCAGGGAAAGGAATGAAGTTGTCAAATAAGCAAAGACTCTCGGTGTTGCTTAGTGACAATGGAACGTCAGCACACAATGAAAGTTATCCGTGATGCACCTCGTAGGCGTCCCGGGAGAAAATATTATGAACTTTCTATCTGTGTCTGAAGCAATCATTCCCTCTACTTACCACACAAATGAGACCTTTTCTATTTCCCCTAATGCACAATGTTTAAATTCATTACAGTTTCAGCCGCCCTTTATATCCTGGCTCAACTGAGGTAATCACATATAATATTGTTTTACCTCCCCTTTTTCTCAAGTGACTAAGGGCCAAACTACACATTATGTTTTCTAATGAGCTGTCACTAGCTTTCCCCATAGTGACTGCAGGGAACATCCTATTTAAAGCCTATCTGGGGCCTGAATTACTGTTGTTGTTGTTCAGTCGCACAGTCGAGTCCGACTCTTCGCGACCCCATGGACCAGCTCCCGCCAGGCCCTCCTGTCTTCCGCCGTCCTCTGAAGTTGGCTCAATTTTATGTTCGTTGCATCGATGACACTGCCTAACCATCTCATCCTTTGCCGTCCCCGTCTTCTTTGACCTTCAATCTTTCCCAGCATCAGGGTCTTCTCCAGTGAGTGCTCCCTTCTCCTTTGGTGGCCAAAGTATTTGAGCTTCAGCTTCATTATCTGGCCTTCCAGGGAACAGTCAGGGTTGATTTCTTTTAGGATTGACTGATTTGATCTTCTTGCAGTCCAAGGGACTCTCAAGAGTCTTCTCCAGCACCATAGTTCTTCGATGCTCAGCCTTCCTTATAGTCCGACTCTCGCAGCCATACATGACTACTGGGAATACCATTGCTTTGACGATGCGGACTTTTGTTGGCAGGGTGATGTCTCTACTTTTTATCATGCTGTTTAGGTTCGCCATCGCTTTCCTCCCAAGGAGCAGGCGTCTTTTAATTTCATGGCTGCTGACACAGTCTGCGGTGATCTGGGATCCCAGGAACGTGAAGTCTGTCACTACTTCCACGACTTACTGAATTACTGTACTTATCTTCAAAACTGGAAAAATAATGCCCATATTCTGGTTGTCTCACAAAAGGTATATACATTCTCCTCAGCAGACGTTCCTGCTGCTTTTGAGTCATTGCGTTGAATTGAGTTGGTGGGGGGATTTCAGCATTTCAGGACCAAGGTGTGAGGGGGAGGAAGGACTCCTGCCTTCCTGCCCAAACTGTTTTCCTGAGCTGAAACAGCCCCCGTGATGCACTTCAAAGCCACATTCACATAATTAGGCGTTTTGCTGCGTGGATTGAGAATGATACATGACAATCATACAATTACTATTCAAAAGTCACTTGTATGTCATAGGCACTGTGTAATGCATAGTAAGCCGGCCTTAATAATTAACATGCATTCGTTTTGCAGGAATCTTTTGCTGGCATTTTAGAGCAGTCTGTCTGATCTTGCCCACTGTGAGATGTCTGAATGAAGTTCGCTAAATGGCTTTGAAGAACTCACTTTCTCCCTGTGGCTCAGTGGTAGAGCATCTGCTTGGCATGCAGAAAGTCCCAGGTTCAATCTAGGTATCTCCAGTTACAAGATATGGCAGTAGGTGATATGAAAGACCTCTGTCTTTTTTTAAAAAAAATTGATACACTAAAAGAGTGACCTTTCCAGAAAACTGGAACAGTTATTAGGAAACTATATGCAGAAACATTGTAAATGAAACCAAAGTACTTAGTCAACCATCTCTCACTGATAAGAACAAAGAATTTGTAAAAATAAGCTGCCACAACACCATCTTGTCTGTCATCTGGAAAATCTACAGTTTTACCAACATTTACCTCAGTCTTTCCCATTCCTGACTACCCCATACCATCCCTGCCTATTAAATAAAATCTTTATTACGGTTCACTGTCACACAGTCTCCAGGGCCATTTCAACAAGTCTACAAAGAGGGCTCCTGTTTTCTCCTGACAAGTTCCTGGGCTGGGCAAAAGCCAAATTAGATTCTGTCAAAATGGGGGGGGGGGGGGGAGCGTACGAGTTTTTAAACCAT